ATAAGAGCTCCCGGCTGCTTTGATTACAGAGTAAAAGGTACCAGCAGGGAGCCTTGGGTAGAAGTTACAGTGTCTAGCTGGACTTTAAGGACTTGGGAAAATATTGCATACACCAAATAACCTTGGGGTATGCAAGCCCAGGTGAATGGTCTCCCTTTAACTGTGAAGGCACAAGAAACCAGGAGTCAGGGTGCAGAGGAATTGAAAAGGAAGCTGCTCACAGGTCATTTCTGTAAACAAGGCTGCATCAGCAGGAATGATGAAGATTATCAGCTGGATTGCGGAGCACAGGGTGCTGAGAAATTATGAAAGAGATTATGGCTTCTAGATCCTGTACAAACTGATGGATTTGGTTTCCCTCTGAGTCACATTTGCCTTCTTTCTTTATGGGCAAGATTGGGGAGATACAGGGTCGGGTGGTAAAGACAAGGATGCTGTGGTTCAAAAGAGACTCTGTTACAAGGGTATCATTTGCTCCGAGTCTCTAGAGGGAGGGTGCTGGGCCACTAGGGCGAGGGTGGGTTCGTCTCCCAAGAAATGCACCCAGGCTCCCACTTCCTAACAACTCAACTTCAACCGTGTGTGTAGCCCAAAGACTGACTCGGGCATCTTTTAAACATCCATCCTCTTCAGAGGAATTTATCTCAGGATGAACTTCCAGTAAAGACAGCAGGACACTTGGAGCTTGACCTGAAGGTGAGGAAACAAAAATGTCTTTTCTTATTGCAACTTATATTGGCATTAAATGTAGATAACAAATCTTTACCAAGAAGGTTTGCCAGTGAACATCTGGGAAGCAGCAAGGCCTGGGAATGTGAACAGGGCCTGAAGATACTGAGCTGGGCTGGGCTGGTCAGGGCTGGGACTCAGGCAGTAAGATGGGTCGCCCTGAGACTCCGAGAGCCTGAACAGAGTCAGAGGTGACAGGTAGAGATCAATCCTCTGAGCAGAAGGGAGAGAAAGTCACACCAACATCAATCAAGAAATCTAGCCTGAGCCTCTGTTTGGAGTTTTCTGGTAGGTCCCGGGGGTGACTGAATACTGGCTGACCTGTCACTAAAGGGGGAATTGTTGGGGTGCCTGGGTGGCTCAGTGGTTAAGTCACCAACTCTTTATTTCAGTTCAGGTCATGATCTCACTGTTCATGTTTTCTAGCCCCAATTCTGGCTCTACACTGACAGAATGGAGCCTGCTTGGTATTCTCTCTCTCCCTCTCTCTCTGCCCCTACCCTACTTATGCTCTCTCTTTCTCTCAAAAATAAATAAATAAACATTAAAAAAACTAAAGGGGGAATTGGCTGTCAGGAGAAAAATGAATTTTTCAGGGTTAAAGGGTTAGGGGAAATTGTTTCTGAGACTCCCCTTTTTCTTTTTTTTTTTAAATTTTTTTTTTCAACGTTTATTTATTTTTGGGACAGAGAGAGACAGAGCATGAACGGGGGAGGGGCAGAGAGAGAGGGAGACACAGAATCGGAAACAGGCTCCAGGCTCTGAGCCATCAGCCCAGAGCCTGACGCGGGGCTCGAACCCACGGACCGCGAGATCGTGACCTGGCTGAAGTCGGACGCTTAACCGACTGCGCCACCCAGGCGCCCCGAGACTCCCCTTTTTCTTAAGTGCAGGACAATGTCTCCTCCATTGTCCTGATTTATTTGCAGTATCTGCAGTTGTGTGGAGGCAAATAGGGTCCCATTGGAGTGGGCTTGGAGTCTTCTCCATCACATATTTGCTTTTCCAAAGATTCAAGTTGTAAGGCAATAATTGTTGTTTTTAGTTCTTTTCTTTTTGTTGGCTTTCTTGTGAGATATTCAAAGATCCAGGTAGCTGCCCCCATTATTTTGTTTAGCGGTTACCCTGTCCAACCTACCACACTATTGCGTACTTGTCGGGGTTATTTTTTAACGTTTTTTTTTAAATGTCTATTCATTTATTTTTGAGAGAGGGAGAGAGAAAGCAAGCTAGGGAGAGAGAGACACACAGAATCTGACGCAGGCTCCAGACTCTGAGCTGTCAGTACAGAGTCCAACGGGGGGCTCAAACCCACAGAAGGTGAGATCATGACATGAGACAACGTTAGACACTTAACCGACTGAACCATCCAGGTGCCCCTGTTTTTTAACATCAGGGGGGAAATTTCCCACAGAAGCAGAAATTAGAAGAATTCTATGTTCTGGGGCTACTGGATTGAATACAGTATGCTTTTTAAAGTTTGTATAAAATGCTTAACAAACGCTTTTGGGTGTTCCTCTACACCTGAGTGTATATTTCAACTGTAGACCAACTCATTTTGGGGGAACAGGCCTCTTCCATTGCTCCTATTAACCCTTGAACAGTTGGGCCTTCTCCTGGTCATTCCCAGGAGGGCCAGAGAGAGGCTGCGGCCCTCTGTGTCCTCTGTGAGGGGGGCTGTTTGGCCTGCCTGGTAACAGCCATATACTCATGGGCTGGAAGGACTCCCTTTAGCAGCCAGTGAAGGTGTCTGTGAGTTGGGTTGTAAAAACGTATTAATTTTTAAAATTTCTCTGTCATTTTGGTAGGATCTTCTGAGAGTAGAGGTAAAGGGACTTCTTAATTGAAAAGGTCTGTAGCTGTCCAAGGGACATGAATTCTTTGTGACAGGGGTGCAGGAAACCCTCCTCAAGGGCATTGCTCAGGAATGCCTGGAACTGGCAGAGCTTGATCACGAAGCCCTGGAGACTCTGAGCAATTGTACGGACCGCAGCATGAGCTTTACCGCCCTTCCTGGCCGCTCCTGCTAGATGTACTTCTCAACACTCAGCACTTACAGGAGCAAACTGTATTTCCCAGGCCAGGAGACCAGGCCGAGGTACTCTCTATGAATCTTGTAAAGAAACAATAGTTAAAATAAGGAGCTGGGCGTTCAGGATTTTTCTGGGAAAGTTGGAGTTTTTGTATTTAAGGGAACTGGCTGAAGAGTTGGGGCTCGGTTTTGAAGGGAAAGTTTCTAGACCAGGAGCCCAGAGATCCAAAAGATCTCCTGGAGGGTCAGGGACAGAGGTGTGGGGATGAAGGAGATATAAGAAGGGGGATTGATGTCAGATTTGGTTTTTGATTCTTATTCTGATTTTTGTTCTTTTATTAAGAGACTCCCTAACACTAGCCTTATACTGGCTTGTGTTTTCTTTTCATTTTGATCCCCCCCTAAATACCAAGAAGGCAGCTGCTACAAGGGAGAGATCTCTAAGAAATGTTCTAAATATAGAAAATTTTCTAGTTTGAATGAATTGCAATCTGCTCCTGGTGAGTAGGATCACCATTAGTATATTTATTTTAATAGTGACTCAATCCAAGAAGCCTCTTTACAAAAGGACTCAGTGACAACTTTCCAGGCTTAGAATAAGTCTCTACCATGGACACAAGAGATGTTTCTGGAAAGGGTATGGACAATGAGGCCTCCATGATCCAAAGTTTACTCCTGAAAAGAGTCTAAGAAAACAAAGACCTTTAAGCAACATCCCATGAACAGGTGTGCCAGGATACCCCTGAGGAGCTCCAGGCTCCTATCACCTGGCTTTTGTCCCCAGTGAGACTTGCTGCTGTATTGTATTTGTTGCCTGTCGCCAGATGGCCCAGGGACCTGGGGAAGGGCTGAGACCCCACCTCGTGATGGAAAGAGGCAAGGCCACTGAGCAGAAGGGTGTGTAGGATGAAGACAAGGCTGGGTCTGTTGGAACATGCAGTCTGCCATTAGTCGGTCTCTGAACATCTTCTAGAAAGGACTCCTTGTAAAAGTCATCTTGCTTCACCATGACAGGCTCACTCAGCCTACTCTCCACACCATCCTGGGAGTTCAGCCCAAGATTCTGAGAACTTGTGCAGGTGCTGATGGGAGGGAAAGTGGGAAGACCTGGCTGATGTGTGAACGATTCAGCAGATATTAGAAGCTTCTGTAATTTACAAAGCCATTTATATTTACTTAAAAATTTAAAAAGCCCAAACTGCATTTCTCATAAAATTATTTTTAGGAGCACCTGGGGGGCCTAGTCAGTTGAGTGACTGTACCCTGATTTCTGCTCGGGTCATGATCTCAAGGTTGTGAGGTAGAGCCCCATGTCAGGCTCTGTGCTGAGAGCCTGAAGCCTTCTTGGGATTCTTTCCTTCCCTCTCTCTCTGCCCCTCCCCTGCTTGTGTTTTCCCTCTCTCAAAATAAAGAAATAAATAAACTTTAAAAAACCTTATTTTTAAAACAATCCCATAGGCATGTAATAAATAAAGCAGAAAACAAATTTTGATTCCTCCCTAGGTCTTGTAGGTACCATAAAGTTATTACCAGTGTTTCCCATATTTCATAGACCTTCATAATTTCTATCAAAATAAATTGCAAAGGAACCAAATGATTCAGGAATTATAAAGTTAAATTTGGTTAAATAGATATGCAATTAAACACTGGGTTCTTTTTAGAAGGAAAGGGGTCAGAAGAGAGGAAACTTCCATTCTAAGCAGCACATGTATTTCAATCATCACCAAAACTTAGTTACAAATCATAATATATTCAAGTCCTTCCTTTTTGTTACAACATTTTATGGTGGAGGAAAACATTAATGGTAATTAGTGCATGTTTGTGGGTTTCTCTAAAGATATTAAAATCCCGTGCTGTCAGCTCATGGAGCCTGACAAGGGGCTCAATACCCTGAACCATGAGATCATGACCTGGATCGAAATCATGCGCTGCTCACTCAACCAACTGAGCCATCCAGGTGCCCCTACAGTTGTTTTATTTTTAAAAAGTAAACCTTCATACTTTTTTTTAAAAATGAAAATTCTGAAGTTACTAGACAAGTCACTGATACAAAGGTGTTTACAGCAGTAATGAGTGAGTGGTAACATTCCCAGTGTAAAATGTCACACAATCAAATCACAACTTGAGAATTCAATCATTCAAGTGCTTCATCCCATACAGTAGGGTGTGGTCACCTTGAAAATAAAACCCATTTTCTGGATAATTTGTTGCCAATCAAGGTCTTCTTTACACCATCATCTCACACGGCAGGAAAGCTGGCCATGGTGGCGATTCCACAGTGGTTGTCCTGGTCTTTGGCTATGAGTATGTAGCCGTGTTTGCCCCAATTTGCACCCCAGCTGAAAGAAGATGGGGTTTTTCATTTATTACAGAGGAATAAACACATTTCTCTTTATGGACAATAACATCTGACACTCAGCAGTGCCCCAGAGGCCAGGACAGATTCAGGAAGACTCAAGAGAGGCCATCCTCGCTCATGGTTGAGTTCTAACCCAGCAGAGAAATCTATCCCCAAAACTTTCACAAAACCACAAAATGAGAGACAGGAAAAGGAATTTCTTGGGGTCAGAAGTGTTTCAGATGCAGTGATATTCAAACTATAGCAGGACCCTTGCAAGCTTGAAAGAGTAGCTTAATGTCATCAAATGAATATGTCTCTGTTCCCACTAAGTGGGGCAAACACTTCTGGGGTCTCGGAAGTGGGCCCAAGGGTTTGACGATCTGTATCCAAACACTGATGCCAAAAGGATTTCCTTTTCAATTCCAAAGGTAAATATTTTTGGCTTTTTATACCTGTTGTTGACAATCCAATATTTTTTGTTATCCGATTCTTCTCCTTCAAAGCCATAGCCAACCACCAGAACACCGTGATTCAGGCGTTTATTGCTGCACTTTGGATCATAATAAATGCCTGGAAAAGTAAATTCAGTTCCAAGGTGGGACATCAAAGCGACATGATAACATCTAACAATAACCAAGTCACCGCAGTAAAGGAGGCATCTCAAAATTCAGGTGGAATATAAATCCAATAAGACTTAGACATCAGTTCTTTTTGTTTAGCAAGGCTAGGGATTTAGGCCCTCCCTAAATCTCCCTGCAATACCAGCAGAAATACACATCATCACAATCTCTTTTGTGAAGAACAGTCAAGAGGGATAGAAGAACACTCACTGAAACCCTGTCATTCTATTCTACCATGTCAGCATTGGGAAGCAGCAGAAAAACACAAAATCACTTGAGCCAAGGGGTTCTTTCCAGCGTCCATTTCATTAGTAAAACTCGTTGGAAATCTTCCAGGCTTAACAGTTGGGAAAAACTAAAGTAAGTTAAAGCTATACCAATCAAATTATGTAGCCATTTAAATATATTTATGAAGTGCTTGAAAGAGAGGAAATTGGGTCAAGTCATGTCAATATGTTGAACAACAGCCACAAAATCACATGTGCTGAAGGAACAACTACATGAAATCCATACCTTATAGATCAATCTTGCCTTATATGATGGTGGTTCCCCATTTGTCCTGCCTACTTTTCTATGTAGACACATGCTGACCTTTTTTATAGAACTGGAAGGAATTCAGGCTTGCATCTACAGCAGCAGAGACAGGCCCCACAGTTGCCACTGTGGTCATTAGGCCATCCTCCTTGTTTACGACACTCCAGAAGGCAGTCACGTTGGCAACAGAATTCTCAGGCTTGTATTTGCAGGATTCGTTCTTTCAAAGGTAAAGGGGGAGAGACTTGATCAGTACCATCCACCTCCAGGGGAACAGGAGTGCAAGACTGTTTAGCTGAATGATTTCCAAGTCAAGTTTGTTATAAAGCATCTCAGGACATAAAAGGGGATTGATTGTTTTGAAGTTGAAAAATTAGCAGTGTCTATCCAATGAGACACTCTTTGGGTCTACTCGTTCATAAAGTTTTCACTCTGGAGACCTGTACTGTATATAAGATGGTGTTCGCGTCACCGTGTAACATAGTTGTAGGAACAGCTATATGGTAATGAAGTAATCAGACAGCTGTGCTAGTAGGCTAATACATTTTAATGGCAGTTCTGACCGTTTGCAGGTATAGAGTCTATATCACATACAAGAATTCTAAATACAGGATCTGTTTCTACTGAATATGCTCAACTTTGATAAAAGATAAGGAACTCCACTTACCTGTGCATGATATGGATAGGATTCCTCTGAGTCCAGTCCCCCATTGTCCTTAACATACTGGAAGGACTTTAACCATTAGGCCACCACGGCAGCTGCCATTGCCTTAAGACCAAGAGCAGTCTACCAGGTTGTGCTCACTCAGTGAAATAAGTTTTCCAGTTTTCCGGAACATCTGTCCTTCAAGGGCACCAGTTGCACTAAAAGCCCAACAAGAATGACAGTCACCCTGAAAACAAAATGCAAACGCGCTTAGCCTACAAAATTAATTGCAAGACTTTAACAACAGCCCATAGGTCTGAAAACTCTTCTAAAACATAACAAACTGCATATTGTGCTTCAATTTCCATAGCAAACTGCATATTGTGCTTCAATTTTCATAGCAATGACACTGATTCCTTTTGGCTTTACTCTTGAGAGGGACCTGCTGAGTATTGTCCCACCTGATCTTTCACAGGAGTTACATAGCCTTTCTCTCTCCAGTCTACAGATGAAGGGATCTCAGCAAAGAGAGGTGCTTGGAACGCTTTCCCTTTTTGTGTTTCTGGATTTTAAGGTCATTCAACACCTGCTTGAATTCTTCACTGGTCTTCAAGGAAAAGGAAACAGAGTGTTGGCAAGCATGAGATGATTTGGAAAAGCACTTAGAGGAAGCCTGAAATGTTCAGCAATCTGTGCCACACTCACCATGTCGCCAAAACCATTCATTGCCATCATGAAATTGTGTTTCCCTTGGCTGTGTTCCCGATTGTGCTGTTCAATCATTTGCATATTCCTGTCCCACACTGCTCTCCTCTGTCCTTCTTCATCCTGGAGACAAACATATAACTTATCATCTTTATTTCTATTTAAAACCACCAGATATGCACCTAGTGGATGTGCTCAAAGACAGGAGGAGAAACCACAGCCAGGAATGCGTGATGCTTCTGGGAGTTATTCTCCAGCAACCACATGTATGCCCACACTGTGGGCAGTCACAGTACCCTGTGCCTTGGTAAGAGCAGCCTAAAGAAGCCACTCCCTGCTATGAACTCACACTAGCATGGACTGTTCTCTTCAGGGGTCCCTCTGGACAGCTTAAATGTTACCAAACATGCTATATAGTTTCCCGTGTGTTGCCTTCCACTGGGACCATTGTTCATCTAAGCTCTGTTTGACTTGTGGAGCAGCTGACACTATTCCCAGGCAAAGGGCAGCCAGGAAGAAGGAAGGGTGCATGTTTCAAAACCTAGGAAAGGAAAACACATGAGTTTCTGATTAGACCAAACCGTCTAAAAAGCCATTGTTCCTTCTGAGATGTTAGAGTCACTAAGAGCAGAAAGAATGAATTTATCCTCCTGAGTGTTTACATGGGCTGTGGAAGAAGGCTGAGGTTGTGGGACGTGCAGTGCTCCCACTCCCTGCCCTGTGACATGCCTACTGCTTCCAGAACATGTAAATGGCAGCGCAGGGAGTGAGGAGTCCTGAGTCCTGGTGTGTGGGGCAAGCTGCCATGTCTGGAGGGGTCAGGTCCTGGAAGAGTGCCTCCTGGAGCCCCAAACCCCTGGCCCCCAAGGCAGCTGTCCCCAGTGTTTTCAGAGGTGGCCCACTCTTCATGCCAGTTCTGGGGATCTCACCTGTGGCAGGTGTAGTTGTGCAGCTCAGTCACAGCTTCAGGTCAGGGCATGTCCAGGAGACCTGGCGATGGGTAGGAGGCTGTCCACTTAAGGTCTGGGATTGGCCCTAGCAACCCTGCCCCCACCACCTGCCTGCCCTGCAATTGGCTGATCCATCCTGTGGGCGGGGCCTCTGTGCCCTGGAGCTCTGGGCTGCTGGGGCATGTGATGCCTGGGTCCCTAATTATCCCAGGAGAATTTTTGCCTGCTTCAGTGGTCCCAGGGGAGGTGAGCTGGAGGACTAGGGACAGCCCTGTGGAGGGATCCGGTGCCTCCCTGAGGGCCCACATCAACTATTTCCCATGAATTTATGCGTTAGTGGATGGTTCATGAAAAGAATTCACCCGGAAAACCCCAACTGGCTTTTCAGCATCACCCTGCCTGTCCTTTAGTCCTAGTGTTTTTGGTGAAAATCTCCTGGAGGGATGAGAACAGGATAATCTAGTCTAGTGGTTCCTGTTTATTCTGAACAAAGTCGCTCAGGTGGAGGATGCAGAGCCCACAGTGGGAGGTGTTATCACTGTGTCAGGATGGGATGCCCCTGGGTTATGGAAGAATCTGGAGAGGTCAGGCATGTCCCCCAAACAGGGCATGCGCTGGGCAAGGCTCAAGTCCTTTCAGGGAAAGGGGCAGAAGGGAGGGGTGTCCCAAGAAGGCGTGGCATTTTGTAATGCTCCTGTCCTGCCTCCCCCAGGTAGAGATTCTTCTTCCCTCTAAAGCCTTTCTCAAAACCAACAGAAAAGAGTTATTTCCAGAAAAATTTGGTTTAATAAAAGGAGTAAAGGCAGCATGTAGAAATAGCGTTTTCCTCCCCACTCTCTGCGTTATGGAATATTGTGTTCCTCAGTGTCCAACATACTTTTCTTCAGCTTTAATTTAAAAAGTTTCAGAAAGACATTTATTTCAAGAAATAAAGTATTTATCAGTATTTATGAATTTGCCCTCTGACAACTGGTTTTGATTCCATATGGCTAGACAGTGAGCTAGCGGTTCAGGACCTCCTTCCTCAGACCTACATTCTTGAGACACCCCAGTGATCTTACTCATGTGTTGTCTCCAGCACCTCTCTGCTCCAGGACAGCAGTTTGCAAAGGGATTCCATACAGGGACTCAGAGTCAGGGCTGGGCGAGTATGGCCATTCTACAGCTCTCCAGGTGTGGGGCCCGCAGGCTCTGTAACACCCTCAGCCTCAGTTTCCTCAGTGAACACATGGGGCAATAGATTTTCCTCAGAGGATTCTTGTGAAGACTAAAGGAAATAATACATGTCAGGCATGAGCATAGAGTAGGGCTAATTTAATACTACTTCCTTGTGAGGTCACAGAAAATCCTTCCAAAGGTCCTGCTTCATTCAGAAAATATTTATCTGAGAATTTGAGGACCTAGGCAATCCCTACTGATTTCTTTACTTCCTGCGAGCCAGGTCACCAGATTAGCGAAATGAATCATAATGTATAGTGGTTAAGTAAGCCTATAGGGTCCTAAGTATGACTACTATATCTGTGTTTGTTGATGTGATGGAAATAAGCAGCGACAGTAAGCCTCCCTTGGAAAAGCAACTGGGAAAGGAAAGCCTGACCTCCAGCCTCTCCAGGTCACCAGTGCCTGCAACCTGGGTTCACCTGAAGCCACAGGGCAGCTCTCAGCGGACAGAGTGGTCTGAACTCAGGGTGAGCTCCTGGGAAGCCTGTCCTCCTATTGGGGCCTTACTCTCTTCTTCTGTAAATTATTCTAAAAATGCTCAGCTGACACAGGATTTAAATAGCATTTTTTAATCTTTAAAACAGCAAGGGAACAATTAGTTACTGATTTCACATTTATTTGTAAAACAATAAAAATTTCCTCCAGGTTCTTAGTCTGTATTTCTAAAGTGTTAGAAGATCCCCCAGAGAAGCTAAGACGTGTGCACCTGCTGGGAAGGAGCAGAAGAGGGGGAGATGTGGGAACTGACTTTGCCTCAGGGCAAAAGCTGGTTTTACTTCTGTATTTGACTTTTCTGTTTGTAAAGCCTGTTTCTCTATGTGAGGGACCTCATTTCTACTAAGCTATATGCCCCAGTCATTTCATAAAAAATAAAAACTCTACTATGGTGCTTGCTTTCAAGGATTTACACTATGTTTATGCTTTGGGGAAAATGTCTTAAAAATTATTACTTCAGTCAAACATTTATTGTGGGTAGTTATCTGGTTCTGTACTCCAAATTATAGACTATGAGTCCTTTAAAATTTCACACTTTTAAATTTAATATCATATTCATTATAGTTTCCAAATATTTCATATCCTCTGGGTAGCACCAGAATAATCCATTAACAGAAGAAATACATCGTTTCTAGATATTTAACAGGAAGTAGAAGAGATGGCCACAGTGAGCACTCATGATGTCACTCTAACAGTCCAAGTCCTCCCAACCTCTATGTGATACAGGTAGGAAATGTTTAATTTAGCATGGTGTAAAGTCATAGCAAGTGGTTTCTGATTAATTGTCCATGACTGTCAGGCTACTTAATCCTTCACAGTGTTATCCCTGGGCTCATTGTTCTTTTATCCCATTCTGAAGGAGCACCATCACTCTCATCATTATCTTTGTTTTCTGCCATTCTTTATCGCTGGCCCTAAATGGCATTTCCAGGCTCGTCTCTCATCCCTGCAGCAATGCCACAAACAGTGCAGTCCATCAGCGCGCTACTCTGAAGACCTGATGTTGCTGCGAGGAGCTCTCCTGTGCCTCAGTGCCTTGGTCAAGCCATGCCTTCCTCCTGGAATGCTCTTTCTTTCCATTCCACCTCTTCGAATGTCTGGTGGAATCCTGCTCTTCTCCCCAGTCCCCTATGAAAAGTCAGCAAATGGATTTTTTCTTGTGTTTCCATAGCTTCTGGACAAGTCATCAAGGTACCTGTTACAGTGTTTGTAAGTTTTTGGTAATCCTGGCTAGGCTGAGCTCCTCAAAGTCATGTTCATGTCTACTACACCACTGAACCTATTATGTCAATGACTGGGTCAGTAGGTGCTTGATTAATAAGAAAGGTTGCATGTTGCACTAAAAATATGGGCAGCAGAGCCAAATGATGACTTCCAATTCCTTTAGATTTTGACACTTTTTGATTTGCAATGTATATCCATACATAAAATTGCTCTCATTTTGGTCACATTAAAAATGAGTAAATGGAGCAGAAATATTCCCAATTCTGTTTATATATTTTTCTGTTTCTTTTTCCAAATAATAATCTGTGATAATCCATCCAAGGCAGGTGAATTTTCCTTCCACACTATATATGAAGAATTTCATGAATAAATTAATGTTCAAGCAAATGCAGAAAATGTTTTAAATTATTTAGTAGAAAAAAAATGCTTACAACATGGTTAGTATCATTATTATATGTATTCAAATGAGCAGAAAATTACAAGTATATCAGCTACTTATTAAGATCATTATTCCACTGGTTTCACTTTATCAGCAACAAGAGCAAGTTACTTGCAACTTTTGCTTTGGACATTCTACAGTCCAGGAAACCATCATCATCACCATCATCATCATTATCATCATCACCTTTGTAGTAGTTGTGAACAACTTGTGATATGTTAGGCATTGTTACGTGGTTTAAATATATTACTGCATTTCCTTTCACAGTGACTTCTGCCTGAGAGAGTCTTTGAATCCTTGTTGCACTTCCCAATGATGAAATTTTGGAGTTGGCGAACTCTAAGTTAGTCCATATGCAAAGAATAAGAAAACTGACATGATGTGAAACTAGGGTAATTGACAGCTCAGGTATTTTAAGATATCTTTGAAGAGCAAAAGGCAGGTAATCCAAACCAATTAGATTCTTTTTTTTTTAATAGAATTTTGGAGAAGATACTTGGTTGTTGACAGAGTTGATAGCAATGCTAAAGAAACAGATGTCAGGACTGAAACAATTAGAATCCAGGGCAAATCTGGCAACTAAGCAGCAGGAACTAGTCAGCAATGTGGTCAGGGCTCAGTTGCTATAATAAAAGAATTCACATTGTTTCTTCCATCCTTGCATCATTCTGCTTCCAGATTGAAAAACCTGGAAGACAATGTCTGTCAATATTTCATCCCGTGTCTAAGGGAGGGAAAGGCATCTTAATACAGCCCCCTCAAGACTGTATGTAATGGGGAAGAAGAAACCACAAAAGAAAGCATGCTGCTCCTACCAAGACAAGAGGAAATGGATGCTAGTGGCTAAGAAATGGCCCTCACTTAACTCATTTAGCTTCTCAACATACTGATAAGCTTTTTCTTTTCATTAAACATTTTCTTTTGAGATAATTATAGTCATATGCAATTGTAAGAAATAATACAGAGAAAACCCATGTCCTTCTTACTGGCAAGAAAACAAACACATAGATGGTTGGAACAGAATAGAATAGAAATCCCAGAAATAAACTAACACATATATAGATGATATGAATAAACATTTTTTCCAAAGAAGATTCATGGATGGCCAACAAGTACATGAAAATATGCTCATCGTCGTTAATCACCAGTAAATGCAAATCACATTGAGATGATACCTCACGCCTGTTAAGATGGCTGTTATC